AGAAAAACACCGAATTTTTTTAATTCGTTTTTGCGTAAACAAATGAACGGATTTTAATTAAGTTTATCTCATATTGTAGGTATTTTTAATACTTGAAAAAAGCATTAAACTAAGTAGTGGAAAAATTAAAATATAAAACATTAAAACACACATTACACTGTAATCCGGCTTTTTGCATGGTTCAAAGAAAATATGGGGTGTAGGTGAAGAAAAATAATAGAGTTGAGGTCCTTGTATAACCGTGCAGTTTTTAATTTCTATTTTATTGAAATATTTAATTTGGCTTACGGGATTTGCAGGACTAGCGAACTGAAACTGAATCACTAGAAAATTTCAAGGCAAAAGTATCGACAAAAATAATTAGCTCGTTTATTATCTAATAACCATAAGTATTTCGGGATAATCATGCGTCCTAACTGGGTGCAGCTAATAATAGCATTATTATCTTATAATTAAGAAAATAAAATATGTTCACATTGAAGACAAATTAACACAAGCCTAAGAATGTTTTCACAACATGAAAATTGTTACACATTAATTTCCATACGTATCAAGTTCCTAAATAATTTTGTCATTCAACTTTATACATATTTGGGAGCAATTCCACCATGACATCGCTTAATTTTAAATTAATGTGATGATCGTATTGTGCAACAAGAAATGAAAGTATATTTGCTATCCTTGCGCCAGCTTCGATTTATGGTCGCAAATGGTCAACCTTGCCGTTTAAGAACTTATTTTATTATTACAAAGAGCAAGGTATTTTTTATATAACGATATATTCTTAAGTTCGATACAATTACTATGTTCACTGGTTATGAATGATTCATGATTTTTTAATAATGGAAACAGGATTTTGCATAAACGATAGTTGTTAATAGACAGTTATTGGAAATTATAAATACTGTCATGCAGTAATAAGGTTAATGCTTATTTTAATACTGGATTTGCTTTATTTCTCTAACGAAATGATAGTTATTGAAATGCATAGTTCATTGCTTTCAGTATTAAAAGTTTTTTGTTGCATTTTGGACTGTAAAACTGGGTTGTAACTGTATGTAAAGTTGTAGTATAACTCTTTACGAGTAAAATAGACCCTCAAAGAAGTCGCTTCGACGTCTCAAAAAAAACTTATTTAGAATCTTTTAGTAAAATTTTTATAACAAATAGGAATGAACAAAAATTATGAATATTTTAGGCTAAAATTTATGCCACTTATAAAGTGTACAAAGATCGTAAAAAGTTATAGAACGATGTTTTTGAAGCGAAACTAGATTAATTATAGAAAATTAAAGACTGTTCCACAGCCGTAAATCGCGCTCCAACTATTTATTGTCGCAATATTCGGACATCCTTCCGAACAACTTCTAATAATTTTACCTTTTCTATCTATTTAGTGCCTGAAACAGGCTTTTTGAAGTCTAATCTGACATATTATCAGACTGAGACAAGTATTGACTATCCCTTGTCTCTGTTATCAGTTTATCACATATGTAATTTCCATTTCCAGTTGAGGCGCTTCCACAGCAACCTCTGTAATCTGCGGTAGCGATCATTGAACATTACCCAGCTCTGGCCCAGTGGGATAGCGACCTGAGCGTTTAGTGTACGAGTCTTAAATTTAAATTCTACGCTTAAATTGAAAACTAGTTTGGTTTTCTCTTCGCTGTTTTCTATATTATATTTCTTATACGAGTCAGTTTGGGTTCTATTTTGTTATTAAATACATACTTATTGCTGTTTGGTTAACTGAGCATGGCCGGAATTTATCAACGTAAGAGCGCAGGAATTGAAAATATTTTAGTTTAGCCATAGTAAGAAAAGCATGGAAAAAGACTTGCTTAATTACAAATTTAAATTGCTTAAAATAAGCAAGTTTTAAGGGAACAGAAATATATGAATGTAGAAAAAATAAAGTAAAAAAGTACCCGGAGAGTAAAATGACAAAAGTTCAGTTTAGCGTATATTTATTAAAAAGTTACATTATTATATTTTCATTACTATACTTATATTCTATGTCTTTTCATACAGTAAATTCAAGCAAAAAGTGTATATTAGAAATGTACCGTTAAATTTAAAAAAATGTGAGAAGCACTTGAAGCTGTAATGATAAAGGACACACGAAACTAGTTATGAAAAACAATAATTAAAAAATAGTTAGGTTAKGATTCCRAGAACGGAAATCAATTATTACCAAACAGATCSTTTAGCTACACCAGACGCAAGAACACAATGTAAATGGCAACCGCCGAGATGTGTAAATGGCAACTTTAAGCTCTTGTTTATTAAGGGRTCCCTTATTTTTAGGCTCAATTGAGCAGGCGTTAGTGTATGAAAAATTACTTTTATCTACAACTGTTATACAATGACTATGATTTGGCACTCCTTCAAATGTCATAATGATGTTTATTACCGCACAAGTGCGGTAATTAAAGATAAATGTAATTCAGATATAAAAAAGTTAWATTTGTGACCACAAACTATGATTTCAATATCATTAAYAGCACAATATTTACTTATTTTCAAACACAAATGTSTAGCAWTTTTTTTTGGGAAGTCACGCTTAAGGTCCTAATGGATTTCAAACTAATTATCCCTCGTCTGCTAATGGTCTGTCTTTGCTTCTCGTCTGCTAAACGGGTAGGTATATTGGACGATGATTCAAAAGTTGCGTTATTTCTTTTAAGATGTACTGCAAATTACTTCGTAGGTACGGAAACATGTTTAAAAAAAATAAGTTTATTTCTTGAATATATTAGCTCCTGAAAACGAATTGTCCACTTTCCTATCAGTAATATTTTAATGTAGTTTATTGGTAACTTAAAAACTATTAATCTAACCAAAGATTATAAGAGAGCCAAACGCTCTTGTAAATAATGCAAAGCGATGTTGTGAAATGAGGTTCTAAGGTTAACTGGAGCAGTTCTGTGATGAATTATGCATTTCGGTGGTCAAATGCTTGTAACGAACGTTCACATTGATATGCAGGTTACTGCTTTGGGGACTCAATTGCAAAACCAAATTTTGAGATATTAAATTCTTCTTAACTGATTGAATGACGAATTTATAACTCATCAGCTAAATGATCTTTTTTATGTTGACTTTTTCACACAATATGTTGTTTAGCCTACCGGTAGTACCAGCCTACCCGTAAAACAAACAAAAATATAACAAACCGCGTATTCATAAAATCTAGTATCAACTGCGTTTTTTTATACATGTTTATATTTATTTTTCAGATTTCCTTGGATCAGAAGCCATCGAATGTTATAAATGCGCATTTGCTCCATACATTTACTTCACCAATGAATCATCTTTTTGTAAAGATTTTGACCATTCTAACAGATTCATAGTAGATTGCCCTTACTCGACGTTTTGTGTAAAAAAGAACACGTACGCTATTATTAACGGAGGTAAGGCTTTTCAGGGCATTTATTATCATAGGGTGGATCTTATAACTGAAATAATACTTTTAATTCATATAGACATTATTAATCGACAAAATAATTTTCAGTGTCAATAAATGGTACTGAAAGAGATTGTGCGTCCCAAAAACTTGACACGCAACGTTTAAGTAATGGTAAATGGCATCCTGAAACCAGAGTGGAAGAACCATATGAAGAAGGGTGTAAGGCAAATGAAGATAAAGGTCTGAGAACAGCTTATGTAGAACACTGCTATTGTAGAGGCGAATTGTGTAATTCAGGCAAAACTGTATTCGAATTTGGACTTTTTACAATTCTATTAAATTCTCTAGCTGTACATCAGGCTGTTGGCTTTATGTTCTTATAATAAATGTTTTCCTGATAATTATTAAATAAATTAAAAGACAAAGTGCATATAAAAATACAAAAGAATATAGTAAAAATTATGTAGATAACTTAAGTAGATAATCAGGTTTATATTATTATTAGTTTCTATATATGCGATTGCTTTGACGCAAGGCAATCACTACCAGTACAGCATTTGTTGGTATCGTGTTATCTTGAAAATGACAAAGTACACATTATCAGTTATGTTGAACGCATAATGTAACAATAAAAAAAATGGAATAAATTTAAATGTACATTTAAATCATACCAAACCCTTCATGTGTATATTATTGCGCTATACAACCTATACCAAGGCCTGGGTAGCACAGTAGATTTTCCGGTGCTTACACAGCGATACCGATACGGCGCACACTTTTTATGTGTTGGGGCATAGCAAAGGACAGTGTGGTTCGTAAGTTTGTTCGTAGGTTCGCTAGCGGTACTTTTAAGTAAGTGCGGGTCTACCCAACGCCGTAGTGCTTAATTCTTAAAATTTAACCTGATTAAGGATGGGTCAGCTTAACAGGTGTCGTAGGTGTAGGCGTTCTGGTGTTCGCACCACGAATCGAAAAAAAGCCACAGAAGGCATTTTGCCACCTTATTAAAGGATATTGTTGGGAAATGAGTAAACAAGATCTATTTGTCTCTTCTGCCAACCACATAAGTTAGTCTAGGGGGCGATGTGACAATTAGTTTTTTATTTCAAGTTGTATTTGTTTCTAGTAACTAAGATAATTGAAAGAAAAACAAACAAGACGTGTGTAGAAATAACGTTCTGAGCAATATACATTTTAATTTTGCCGAGAATCGGGTTTTAATTCGTCGGTTGGGTGCATTCATATACTTAAGTCGGTGTTGGAAGTGCCATCTCAGATAGGAACGCGCACGAAGAAGAAAATAATACAAAAATACAGTCCACTTAAACATTCACCGACAGATATGGTAAATAATTATGTCCCCACTGAAATTGCAATACTGTTCCGCGAGTTCTCAACGGTTATTAAGTATTTAAATTGAGGGTTTTTTTGTCTCATAAGTAAACTGGCTTATCCATCAAGTCCAACAGTTTTCCGATTCCCATATCGTTTGATGTCTCCATAATTTTCTTCTTTAATTTAAATTATTACGCTGGAACAACCTCGTGTCCCAATAAAACCTGAACAATCCTTATCATGAAATAACCCGGCTTGTGTTTAGATCAAAGAATCAAATAACGGTTCGTATCTGTCGCACTGGCGTCAAATTCTTATTTTTTTTGTATTAGGCAGGGTCTAGACTTGCTATATATCGCTGCTTTATAGCCAAGTTACATATCATTTTAATTATTTCATAATGAAATCTAGCAAATTTTCCTACTATATAACATGTTACATGCTATCCATCCTTTGTCGGTAAAGATCAAAGAAAATCGTACAACAATCTTATTGTAACATGTAGCAACACGTCCAGACTTGCAATATGCGGTTTTCATTGTTAGCAAACGTATAGTATACATCAGTGGCGGTCATGCAGTTTTCCTAGTTTTCTGTACAAGATGGAGTTAGAAAATGATCAGTGAAATAAAGAAAGTATTTTGAAACTAATAGAATTATGGAGAAAACGTGTAGAATTATGGGATACCCGTAGTCCAGTATTTAAATTGAAACTTCAGGTACAATTAGTGATATTAATTGTTTAGAAATTTTAAACAGGTACATTAAGCTTGGATACGAGTCTCTGCTAGCCAAAAACCGTAAAGTCACTGCCAGACGTTCCAAGATGGGTACTGCATCTCTCAATCGTGTGTCCATTTTGTGTATTTTGGACCAATTAGGGTTAATAGAGATTCAAAATCTGCATCACTGATTCTACAAAAATGTTGAAAGCTCCCCTTAAATGCTAGGCCATGATTTAAAACCCACTATCATCTGTAATAAGATAATGTAAAAAAATACTTCCACTATATATGTTTCTGGAAAAGACGAATCCAAAATCTTATTTTTCGATTTTTCATCTTTTTTTTTCGTCCTCAAAAATAATAACGTACGTCGCTGCAGCAAGCAGCGCTTCTGTTTCACCCCACGAGTTCATATCACTAACTTAAGTGTGGACAAAATTCAGTTATTTCCACATCTAGCATTAAAAAAATGTTATATGACAATGTTGTGCTACATGCTATCAAGTGTGGACCCTGCTTTAGGCCGCTTAGGCGTTAGCGACATATGGCAGAAATCATATGTTTATATGGATGGGCCGCATGCGCGGAACGAGAACATTCCGGTTCATTAATATTTAATTGGTAAAAGTTAAAAGATCCGAACTTCTGAATGTCACAATTTAACTATTAAATTACGTTTGTGAATTAAGAAAGTACCCATATACTTGTGACTGACTTAAACAGTGAAGGATAAAATTTAACGTCACGCACCCTTCCCTACGAATATACACACACGCGCACACAAGCGTCTGCTTATCATGTGCACGATTTGCTTTGCTTGTTGACAGCAAAATCTCCAGTAAGCCCGTAGATACATTTTTTGGAAAGAAAAAACAATTGATAGTTTTTTTCCGCTTACTCCTTATTATTTATTTTTATCCCGCTTATTATATTAACAATCATCTTTCATTTGTGTAATGTACCAAACGTGTAAATTTCAAATGGCGCGCGTTATGCCGGGTATTCTATATACGGCTATATATAAGCTATGAAAACGGTTGATTTAACAGCTTAAAGTGTAAATGCAAATTTGTAACTTTTAAAATTGTCTATCTAATGACGTATTAATATACAGGTACTTCCGTTTGAAAAACAAAAGTTATATTGCGTTAAAAAGATTTAGTTTTAAGTCCACATGGTTAACACCCTGTACACTGTGTTGATATTTTGGTTCAATAGAATTCTTACCGGATATGTGGTGATTGGAAAGACGTATTTTTTTGTATCACTAACTGTTAGTTTTTGCTTCTACAATGAATTTTTAGATACCATGTTTTTAACCAAAATTTTACTAAAATGGCGCTAATCTGCCAACGTCGCAAGTAAGAAAAAAGTTCTAGTTCTATTTAAAAAATACACTTTGATCTTGCCTCGCTTTTCTGAGACACTCTGTATGATATAAGATATTTTTAAAATGTGCGCACTTTGTGCGTCAACAACTTTGATATGAAACTATTTTTCGAAAGTTCAACACCATAGAAAATAATGGACTCTATCGCACTAAAAACCCACCCTGTATATCACTTACATGAATGCATAAAATAGGAATGTAAAAAATATCGACTTACCCTGTTTGAATTTTCCACCAAGCATAAAAAAACAACATCTTCTCTTTGAAGCCGCACTGCACTATGCAAAGGTAAATGAGTTTTGCTCTTCAGCATCTGATGCAGTAAGGGACCACTCATGTGTTCAAAGTCGGATGAATTCAGGTCATCCCAATGTGCAGAAATGAGACCTAAAAGACATTACAGTTAATTTATATTCACTTGACGAATGTACGTTTTTATTACCAGAACAATATTCCCTTAAACCAGAGGCATGGATTTCCTCAGCAACACTATAAAACTTGACGCAGTTTCGAATATTCACTGCCGATATGAGATATTGTTCGCAGTACTCGACGAGACTGTCCAATTTAAACTCATATGCTTTTTTTATTAGTTGCAAAGTTATTTCGTCGGATACCAGTCTAATGTCGCTCTAAAATAGACAAATGCTTTTAGATACAATATATTGCAATTCGCATCACATAATACCTTATACAACCATAAAATAATTCCAGTTGCCACCGCTGAATCTATATCTGACCAGTCCAGCTCCGATTTTCCTTCAAGGAACTCTTCATTCCAAAGTGTCGATCTTGCTGTAAGAACTATTTTGTGAGCTGGCACACATTTATCTGCAAGTAAAAGACAAAATATGATATTCGTCAAACAGACATCTAAAAATATCAATTTTGCAAGAGCAATCAATGACCAAGTATTCAATCATTCAGTGTCTTGTCTCGACACATATATGTAATGCATTACAATATAAAACTGTTTAACGTTCACTCAGACAAAATATGCGAAGGTGCCATGGAAAACTGCCCTGAAGGAATTTCCATTAATGGCGTAAGCATAAATAACCTTAAATACCCTGACGACACCGTTATAATCGCGGACTTCTTGGGAGATCGTCAGACTTTGTTTGACCGTGTGGTGAGTAATAGTGCAGAATTTGGATTAAATTTAAACAAAAAAACCAAATGGATGGTCATTGCTGCATTCAAAGTTGGAATATTTTGGACACATTCCCAAAAAGGAAAAATACAGGCTTCTCAAATTAATAATAGAAGCAAAGATCACACAAGGCACTTAGAGACGAAGAAAATATTAGTCAGATAAGTAGATAAGTCATATAAGTAGTGCAAGACTCTTCGGAACTACATCAGATACGAAGAATGTCAAATGTACAAAGAATTGCAGTTTCTGAATGGTCTGCTCGAAACCAATTCAAGTTTTTCAAAATTTGACAGCTATCAGGAGATACTTTAAATGAAAAACGAATTTATGGCAGATTTTTAAATAACGTCTAGTTCCGTCAATATTAAGCTGACAAGAAAATATTAAATAGAAAAGGTGTAGGAAACGGCCTTTTAAAAAAAATGACATAATACATTTCGATAAGTTAACTGTCATTTTTTCCATATGACATAAACTTGTGTTCTTTAAATGGCAACGGTATCTGATTATGCCTTTATTAAGTAGAGCATTTTATTACGCTTTCAGTGATCATATCATTAGGGTTTTTCTCAAATGAAGTACCTGCGAATAATTTTTACTTCATTAATTTAGTTGATCGAAGTTATCCATGGAAAATAGTAGAAGGCATCCATTGTTTCCATAATAAGAAAGAGTAACTAGATCTAGTTATAAATTTAAGTTGGGTTCATTGTAAAAATGAATTATTCCAAGATTCCATTAGTTGGACGAGCCTCTGATTGCTATTTTGAGAGGTATTTTGACTGTTGTCAGCCATTCTTGAAAACATTCAAAAGATTATACAATAATTTGGAAACTTATGGAAGTTTTATATCGCCAACAATTGAAGACAAAGTAGTAAATGAAGGTGCGGAAGTTAATGTCTTGGCCATTATAACCCAGAAACCACGTACTTCAACTAGAGAGATTGCAGCTTAGCTGCAATGTGTGTTCCATAGCTCTTCATTAGCTGGGTAAAAAGTGCAGTGCTGCCGAATGAATCGCAGATGTATGTGAAGTTTTTCAACG